AAAATGCCTCCACATTAGATGAAGGAGCTAAAAATAATGGGAGGCTAGAATTAAATCTCACCTGAGTCAGTCCCTGAGATGAGATGTCGTCATCCATGTCAACGGGACTACATTATAAACTTGGATGAGTTATTTTATAAATTGCTCATAAGCCATCATTTAAATTGTTAATTCGTGTTTTTCTTTTCTTCAACGTGTTTGACAAAGCAATCAGAATAGTACCACTTGGTGACCGTATATAAGAATGCAAAAATGGAATTGTATTGTAGAAGTAGATTATAAGCATCCTTCGTTTTCTTCTAACAGTTTTTTTTAATTATTATTATTATTATTATTATTTTTAATATCAAAGTGAAGAAAATAGGGTTCCCTACTTATGAAAGGGTGAAAAATGTTACCTTACGGTAAAAAGATACTTGTCATTCAAACTAAGAGGTAGCTCATCAAGAACTGCAGCGACTTTCTGTTTATTACCAAGACAGAATTAGCATGAAAAACAATTACTTATGTTATGATGAATAGATTAAAAGATTCCAAAATACAGAAAGAAGAACTTTGCAGCCAAAATCAGCAAAGAAAAGTATCATAAGATGGAACGCCCTAGTGAATTTATAACTTACCAACAGTTGTTCACAGTCAGAAATGAAATACTTCTCTGATAATTTAGAATTTTCCGCAAAATGTTGCTGAAAAAGAAAGAGAAAACATATGGAAAACAAAATTAAAGAAATGTAGACGGGATGGAGATGAGAATTGAGGAAATGATCAACCATCTTGATTACCATACAAAAAAAATTATATTATCTTGTAGGTTAGAAGATTTTCAGACTCAAATTTGTTCAATGTCTCGAAACATTCCAATCATGACAAATAGAGCTCCATTAACTAGAATATTTGCACCAACTGAAACATAAAACTAATTTCACAGAAATTCTAATAGACATTTTCTGCAAATAATATCTAGACTTATTTAACAGATACACATTCACAGTGTGTGTGCAGTGATTGTTACAGAGATAGAGAATACCAATATCTGGTGTAGGCCATAACTCGGGCGTACACGTGAGTACATTAGTAAAAGATCAAAGTTGGGGAAAAGTCCAGCTTGCTGCATTACGAATCATCACCCATCAGAAATAGTAAAAAAAAAAATCGAAATGCTAAAGGTGGAAATAGACGTACTAACGGCATTTAAATTACCTCAATAACAGGAGAGGCAGAACTCAAAGATGAATGAAGTAAAGGTATATCATCAGCATCCAGACATGTAACTTCGCCTACAGGAAATTTAGATTTGAACCTGCCAGCTCTCCCTTCAACCACACGCCAAAAATACCAAAATAAATAAATAACAAGAACACTTAATAAAAATTAGTAATTTCAAAAATCATGGATGACATATCTGATATATCGACCATAAAGGGTGAATTTCAAGATTCATGTGAAAGAGCTCCAGTCAATTTCACCAGTTAATAAGAATTTTTAACAAGCATAAAAAGCTAATCACGTCTTGACGTTTTTATCGTGACTTTGGCTCTTGCTAATAATATAAATCTCGAGAAGAAAAACTTACCAGCAATTTGTTTAATCTCGGAAACAGTGAGATTCCGTGTTTCCACGCCGTCGAATTTTTTTAATGTTGAAAAAATGATTCGAGATATATTAAGATTGAGACCCATCCCAATGGCATCGCTCGCAACTAGGACATCAAAATCACTCGTTTCATCGTTGAACATTGTTGCCTGCAGTCCTAAGGAATTGATTAATTCAGCCAAATTTATGATTCACATCAACAAGAATATAAGAATTTATTCATGTATGAACCTTGTAAATGCTACTTTGACATGAAAAATGCTAACTTAAATAAACTGGATCATATGTGAGAAATTGAGAAAGTAAAATTACACATTTTCTACATTTAAATGATGTTATGGGGAATTAGAAATCAACATTGAAAAAATCCAACTGATCAGACAGCTAAAAGAAATTAAAGTTCCATGCCAAT